TATTCTGTTTTCTCAAATGAAATTAATAAAGTCATTTTGGAACCTATATTTTAAAAAAAAGCCCTATAATTTGAAAATTTCCTTAAAAATAAATTCTTTTAAAATACAGTTGCTTTTGTCATTTTAAGTAAACATTAGCCTTACATTAAAACAACTATTAAAATTATTGCACAGTTCTAGCTGGTTTGGCTCAGTGGATAGAGTGTTGGCCTGTGGACTGAAGGGTCCCAGGTTTGATTCTGGTCAAGGGCACATGACCGGGCTGCGGGTTCAATACCCAGTGGGGGGGAGCATGCAGGAGGCAACCAATCAATGATTGTCTCTCATCACTGATGTTTCTGTCTCTCTGTCCCTCTCCCTTCCTCTCTGAAATCAATAAAAATATATCTTAAAAAAACATTGTTCAAAAAATTATTGCACGAAAATTTAATATTATTTAAGTAATTAAATAATCTTAGTTTATTTTAAAGTATAAAAATTTTTACTTATTTAGCCCTAGCTGATCTATCTCTCTCCCTTTCCCTCTCTGAAATCAATAAAAATATATTAAAAATTTTTTTTCACTTGTTTAGATGCAGATATTTCACCAGAGAAACTACAATAAAACATTAAAATTGAGATATTCATTTTGAAGATATATCATTCATTCTCACTCTACATCTCATAGGATTTTTTTCAGTTCAGTTTTCCATAAGATCATTCTTAAAACCCCACTTCATGTAACAGAGCTTCGTATACTACTGAAATCAAGATAAGTCCTTTTGCTTCTCAGAATTTCTATTTAGCAATTACTTTTCACTTCACATTAACAATGACCAAGACAACAGATGCTCAAATTATGATATGTATGGATATCTCCTTAAAGACTACAAGCTCCCAAAGAAAGGCATTGTATTGTGAATACAAAAGGTATATGCACAAGTAAATAAAACATTTGTGTGTTTTATTTCTATTAAGCACCTAAAAAAGAAAACAAGTAATTCTTAGTTTTCTAAACACTATTTAAATATATTTTTTTTATTGATTTCAGGGAGGAAGGGAGGGAGAGAGAGAGAGAGAAACATCAATGATGAGAGAGAATCATTGATCGGCTGCCTCCTGCACGCCCCCCACTGGGATCGAGCTTGCAATCTGGGCATGTGCCCTTGAATGGAATCGAACCTGGGACCCTTCAGTCCGCAGGCATCCACTCTATCCACGGAGCCAAACCGGCTAGGGCTAAACACTATTTAAAGCAAATAAATTCTTTTGGTCAACTAATATTAGAAAAAATATATATCTATAAGCAAAATGCTTTACCGATGCTCATCACTTCTCTAAAAGATAAACAGATGTGATATAATAAAAAACATTACCATGAAGGTTATATAGTATTTTGTTTTTACATCATTTAATGTTAACATAACCCTAAGAGATTCTAAAAATTGATTTTCAAGAAATATTCATAGTTGAATATTCTTAATATACGTATTTCCAGTGACATGAAAAAAAGAAACAAAGGCTAAAGTTAGGAAAAGAATAAAAGCTACTAATATATGAAGGCAAAACTGCTAAGGCAGAAACAAATGTGAGGGGACTGGGAGGTTAACTTGAGCTAAAAATAATTAAGCTATAACTAGAGTTTGCAATATGCTTAGACTGGGTTTTAAATAAGGGTTCAAGTTACTAAGTATAGGAAATATGTGGCATTTTGTTATATGCTTCATTCTATTCAGGAAAATACTTTGACATAAATGATGATATGCTGCCTAAATAATGAGGCCTTACAAATATGCAGAAGTGGTTCTCAATTGGAGAACCACCTATTAACATCATCCCATAACATCCACTACTGGGAAAGGACATGCGTGTCTCTTTGCTCAAAGCCACCCAAAAAAGTACCTAATTGGGATCATTTGAAAATCTATAGGGGCCTGGCTGGTGTGGCTCATTGATGAGCGTCAACCTATGAACCAGGAGGTCATGGTTCAATTCCTGATCAGGGCACATGCCCAGGGTTGTGGGCTCCATCCCCAGTGTGGGGCGGGCAGGGGGCAGCCGACTAATCATTCTCTCTCATCATTGATGTTTCTCTCTCTCTCTCTCTCTCTCTCTCTCTCTCTCTCTCTCTCTCTCTCTCTCTCCCCTCCCCCCTTCCTCTCTAAAATCAATAAAATTATATTTAAAAAGAAGAAAATACATAGGGGCCTTTCTAGTGGTCACTATGACTGGGGGAAGGGAGGTATACAAATGGCCATTTAGTCCCCAATAGGCAGGTCTGTTAACATCTCTCTACTATGCTACTCAGTCCTATTTAACAAAATGCCAATGTCTTTTAATAAGAAACACCTGCTAAATAGAGTACAGAAGTGCAAACTTAAAAAGACTTTTGCAATGAAGAATCAGTATGTAAATATAAGGATCATAAATTTCCTATCAGAAGTTGAAGTCAACAAGATGATTTACTTACCAGTTTGTAAACTACATGCTAATAGAAATTACCAATAATCAGAAAATATATCTTCATAAATACCTCCCCATCTCCCCCTCGTCCAAAAGCACATTATCTTAGGATTCTGTAAGATGTTCCTGAGACCAAAAAGAAAGCTCTCCCTTCCTCCATCCTTCAGCAATGTTTCTCAATCTTTAAAATCCATGTCAAGCCCTGGCTGGTGTGGCTCAGTTGGTTGGAGAATCGTTCAATACACTGGAAAGTGACGCTGGATTCCTGCTCAGGGCACATGCCCAGGGGCCATAAGGAAGGCAGCCAATTGATGTTTCTCACATCCATGTTTCTCTCTCTCTCTCTCTCTCCAATCAATAAGCATATCATCTGGTGAGGGTTAAAATAACAAAAACAACAAAGTCCATGCCACCTTTAAATAACCAAAGCAACCCACAAACCTTACTGTCCATAGTTGAAAATAACTAATAAAATGCATTTTATTTTTATCCCTACCAGCCAAAATGACTTTTATCAAGTTGCCTTTAAGTTTTTATTGCTTTCATTTTTCTAAATTTAATTTAATATACTTTTAAAATAATAGAAATAATAGTTAACACCTATAATGCTTATTTTGTGCTAGACGCTGTGCTAAGTGCCTTCCATAAATTAACTCATTTTACTCCACCCCCCCCCCCCACAAATCTGATGATGTAGGGATTATTTTTATCCCCATTTTACAGATGAAAAAAACAAGTAGAGTGTCTAAATTACTTGCCCCTTCCCCATTCTCCTGAAACAAATCCACTATTTTAAAGCATTATAACATTAAAGAGGAGAGATGGGAACTAAATATCAGGAATTCCCCTACAGGGATTTTTGACCATAAAAACCTCATTCTTAAATTGGTTAATGGCAATAAAAAGAGAGGAAGTAATAATGAAGCCGAATAGAAAATACCCACTAGCGCTGCTGCTCCTCAGCTTCTTTCTCCTTGTCCGTTCAATTCGTCACTCGTCAATAAACCTCACTGATAATTTTAGAATTCTTTTAAGTGGCACTCTACTCTTCAATTTAAGATATTTGATAATCTTCAAATAGCTTTCGAAGGCAATTGCACTAAATTTGGCTAACAGAGAAGGAACTAAGTAATCAGTGAAACTGGCAACCAAGTGAATTCCTACAGTGAACAGCACGTACACTCAATGAGCTTCTTTGGGGAAAGCACCATATCCCTAGTGTATCTAAATAGGCTACATATTCGTTGTTACTGTGGTTCTATAACCCAATTCTAAGGGGGAAACATTAAGAGAAAAAGCGGGTCACGGAATGAAATGTTCTGTATTGCTATGAAAACATTTTTGAGTTTTTGACCTTTCCTCCAAATGAGATGAGCACCGCAAAACCGTGAAAAGACTAGACGAAGGGAGAAACTGTGAAGCCACACCCCTTCTCCCGGGGTGCGATGAGAATGGAAGTGAGAGAGAGCTGGGCCAGCTCGGTCAGACAGCTGGTGCGGCTAAAAGCAAACCCAGAAAGCGCACAGCCTCTAAAAGATGGAGAGAGGCGCGGCAAGGAGAGCTGAGCGGGAACGGCGTGCGGTGCCCAGGTTTCCCAGACGTGACAACAATAAACACGCCGCCCGGGTGGGGCAGTACCACAGCACCGGGGGCGGCCGGGCACGCCTCTCCGCTCCCAGAGCTGCCACCCAGCCAGGGGCGTTGGCCGCTGGGAAGAAATAAATTCCTTGCCTGGAGAGACCAGATGCGGAGATAGTCCAGCCTCCCGCCTCTGCTTTCTCGCTGGAGTCTGGATCGTGCAGCTCCACGTCTCACCCGTGCGGGCGGCCGAGCACCTCCCAGGCCGCTACATTCGCCTCACGGGGTGGGACAGCCACCTGGGGGCGGGGGACCGTCCCGCTGTCTCATTCCTCCTTCCCTTCCCTTCCCTCTCCCAGCGGCCGGGCCCAACTTCCTGTGACAGGAAAACCCTGGGTCGCCCGCGAAGTTGCCGGATGTGTCCGGCCGCGCTCCCGACCCCGCGCCTCCAGAGCTCGGAGGTCTGGAGCTTGGAGAACCTCTAGCCCACGGGCCGTTTATTGTCCTGCCCTCTCTTCGCACCTCAACACCATAAACGCCTCACCCTCTCCCGAGCTAGGGGTTTCCAGACAGTCACAGGCCTTCGCTTTCCATCCCGCCGCTACCGGGGCGAGGGAATCGCTTCCGGGTTCACACCCGTGACAGCCTCGCGGGTGGCGGCGGAAGAGCTTCCGGGTCGGCAACCGAGCTGCGGCCGTTACCTGCTGCTTCACGCTGGGGCTGCGGGCCGCGTGGGGCCGGTGGCGGGAGGCTCGGGTGTCGGCGGCGGGCGCGCCTGCAGCTGAGCGAGGGGCGGGTACGGGAGGAGGACCGGGGCTGGGCGCGCGCGCGCCAGGCTGGAGCATGAGCCGGACTTGACCGCGAGGCGGAGGCGAGAGCCACCGCCCCCTCTTCCCCTCCCGCGAGAAAGGCGGCGCGGCGGCCGGCGAGGGATGGGGGGCGCCTGCTGACGGAGCCTCGGCGCGGACGCCTCCGGCTCACGCAGCGTTCCCGCGGGTCCCCGGCGCGCACCCTCGGCCCCAGCAGCATCCGCCCGGCGGGCGCACCCGGGCGGGCGAGGAGGGGGCGCCCGTCCGGGTGGGTGGGGCGGGGAGGGTAACCGAGGTCACGGACTCCGCGGGAGAGGCTGGGGCGGCCGCGGCGGTGGCGGAGCTGCGGGGTCCTGCCGACCCTCACCTTCGGCCCGGGAAATAACCGTAAGTCTCCGCTTCGCCATACGGGTCTGTTTGAGGCTCACGCAACCCATTGGGGCTCCTGGTTCCGCGCTGCCCGGTTCACGCCCTCCCCGGCTTCCAACGAACGTGCCTGCCTGCCCTCGCGGAGGGCTGCCCGCCCGTCGCCGCTCCTCCGTCGGTCCCCCGGGGCTTTTCTCCCGGTGAATGTGCCAGCCTCCGCGGCGCGTCCCATCCTCCCCGTTCTGGATGCCCCTCCTGGTCCCTGTCCTCGAAGGATCGGTGTCCCCCCTCTTTTCCTTCCTGCACCCCAGTCTTCACGGCCTCCCCCGCCCATCCTTTGAGACGTGGAAAGGCTGCGGGTCTTCGCTGGCCGGCGTCTTGGGCAGCGGGATGGAAGTGCCGTGCAGGGACGGCTGCGATGGGTGGGGATCGGTGCAGATGGCTTGTGTGACTTTCATTTTTGGAGCTTTTGCCACCAAAACAAAAGAATGGGCCTCTTTCCTGGACCCTCCTTCCTCTCCCTTCCTCTAAGCCGTGTGCTCTCCGTGGCTGCTTTGAGGCTCGGGAAATTGGAACGAGAGCCGTAATGAACCATCTCCCGAGGAGGTTTGGAGAATTAGTCTCGCAAGCTCCGTTCCCGCGGAATGGGATATTGAACAACCTTGTATTGAAATCAAGACCCCGTCCACAAGGGCTTTAAGAGTAAATCTGATAAATGGATGTGAAAACAAAAGTCTGATGTTTCAAATGTGTTTTGGAATTTAGTTCTTAATTTACAAAGTGTGTGAATGATGTGAAAATCGATTGGAAGGTTTTGTTTCCTTAGTGGTAAAAAACAAAAATCCCACTGAAGTGATTTTTTAAGGATTTGTATCAGATTATATTTGGTAAGATATTATTTTAAATCTTTAATTCCAGAGAGGCCCTTTTTAAAATTTTTACTCGTTTGGATCAACCACCTACAGATGTTACACACCTTGGTGCTATGACCTCCCTGCTTCTTAGTTTAAAAAAAAAAAAAAAAAAATTAACTGTATTTCCAGATTTTTGACTAGGCTTTTTTTTCTCATTAAAATTTGATTGGCTTTTTAAATTGCCACTGCAGAAATTAGATTTAAAAATATTTTTAATGCTGTCAGTGACTGGACAATAGCTCTTACATGCCTTCATGCACTTGATACTTTTCAAGGCACCATTGGAAGCAAATGATAATTTAAGAATAATTTTACTCTGTGTTGCAGATTTTTTGTTATTCTGTAAACTTCTGTAACATTGCCTGTTAGCATTGTTTCTTGTTTGTTTCTGAAAACATTGTCATTTTGTTAAAGGTAGATGTGTCTAATGATGATTTTTTTTGTTTCTTTTCAAAACCTTCAAGCAGTTGATTTGGGACTGTTATTTGATTTGTAACTTGAGACTGTTCACAGATTTTAGTTTGAAGTAGGCTCAGGAGATGCAGCTCCAGCCGTCTCTCTGGAAATGTAGTTTACTGACCCGGCTCAGGAACCGAGCGGTGTATGAAGTTGAGTGTATTATTAAGTGTGCCCTTCATAAAGTCCATCAGTTTCCAAATAGAAGAGTGTGGTGCTGCCCTGGTCCGTGTGGCTCCGTTGGTTGAAGCGTGGTCCAGTGCACCGAAGGGTCGCAGGCATCAGGTCAGGGCGCATACCCACGTTGAAAAATAAAAGAGTGGTGCTGTAGTGAGGTGGACAGTAACTTGGAAAGGTCTTTTTTTTTAAAAAGCCTACTGAGCCCTATTATTCTTGGACGAAAGGTACGGAAAATGGGACTGTATTTTCATATTACACTTTTTCCCTTGCCCACTGCACTGAGAACTTTGAGTCTTCAATACCAAGGGTTTCCAAAACCTTGAGTAGACTGTGCCTAAGTGTGGGCTCTAACAGGTGACTGCTGAGACATGGGAGAGTTTTGTTAGACACTCTTTTATACTTCTTTAGTACTGCCCACTTTTGGAATAATTGATTTTCTTTCTTTTCTGGGGTGTGCACTTGAACTTGTGAAAGTGAAGTATGTGTGTTTACAACTTAGTTGTAGTTAAAAGTTTAAGCTAATTTTCATGTATATATAGATGGAAGAGCTATGAATTAAACTTACCTGATTCTCCTTGACTGGAAGTTAAAAAAGATTCCTCAATGCTTTGGGTACGTTTTCCATTTTTCAGGATGTGCACAACATTTTTTTTTAGATGACATTTAAAAATACTCTAATATTAGACTTTTTATGTGACACATTTGCCAAAACAGATTTGAGAGTGGCTCAGTCATTATTACAAAGACCAGTCTGAGGTGAATTTTTATGCATGGTTCTGAAAATGCTTAGGTATTTTATTTTCTTTCTCAAAGTGACTTGCTTAGGGCATAGTAATTTTTGGACTGTTTATTTTTCAGACAACCTCAGACTACCTCTTTTTTTCCCCTTTCCAGATAACTTCATACTCACTTCATTTCAGTAAACCTTTATTGAATACCTACTGTGTGTGCCAGGCACTGTGTTAGATTCTGGGACTATAAGGATAAATAAGTTCAGATTGCTTTCCTCACTGAATTTGCCAAATTTAGATATTTAACTATGAGTCTATCCACCTGCCTTTACAGATTTCTCTAATAGGTTTTTAAGTCACTTGACTGCATTTCAGGGTTGTTTCACATCCTTGCTATAATAATAAACACATTTGCCTGACTAGTGTGGCTCAATGGTTGAGCATTGATCTTTGAACCAGGAGGTCACTGTTAGATTCCCAGTGAGGGCACAGGTTGTGAGCTCCATGCCCAGTAGGGAGTGTGCACGAGGCAGCTGATGGATGATTCTCTCTCATCACTGAAGTTTTTATCTTTCTTCCTCTCCTCTCTGACATCAGTAAAAGTATATTTTTTTTAAAAAGAAGAAACACAATAAATACTATTATGTGCTTAATTCTTGCTAGCACCATGCTAAGTCCTTTATGTACATTATCTCATTTCGTTCTTAGAACAGTTCTAAGTGTATTTATCTCCATTTAAAAACCGTACCAAAAAACCCCAAGCCATACAGATTCTGGTTTACAGTAATGCTAAATTTTGTTTTATTCGTAATATGCTAGAAAAGATTTGACCTTACAGTTTCTCCTTATGGGAAAGAAGTTGTAATATAGTTATAATAGTTTTTAAGTTCCCTAATAATGCTTTAAATTGAAGAATTCTACTTTTATGAGATATTGGTAACTTTTGTTTTCTAAAGCATACGAATTGTTATCAAAATGTAATTTTCAGTTGTTTAAACCTTTGAAAAGTCACGTCTGAAGTTTATTATGGTTAACCATAACCAGTCTTCAGGCATACATAACTCCTTTTTACTAATTCAGCAAGGAGATCCAGGGTCTATAACATGTATTAAAAAAAAAATGTGTGTATTCTTTAGGAAGGACAGAGTATTGAGGTATATGAAGTCTATTTAGCTGTAATTTTTTTTTTTTAGTTTAATTTTGACATCTATCTAAATGCCTTGCAGAGTTTCTGTTTCTGTAATGAAAATATATTCTTTCACATTTATAAATGATCATACTCATCTATTAATAAGATAATGCTTTATTAGCAATTTCATATGTTTCATTTTAATAATTTTTCAGACCCTCTCACATTTTTTAAGGATGGTCTTCCACTGTCAACTCTTTTCACCAAAAGCCCCATATGTGTTCTAAAATTGTTATTTTGTTTTATTTTTATTTTTTTTACCAAAAACTCAACAGTTGCCATTCTTTAGGCTAAGACCTTTTGTTACTGGTTACACACTCTTCTGTTTTAGGACTGTAGGGCAAATAATTATTCCTCCTCTAAGTTTCTAAGAAAGGTAATCCTTGATATTTTTTCTATGCTCAGTCTGATATACATATTTTAATTTGACATAGACAGTTTCTCCCTCCCATTGTAGCAGAGTCCTTGATAATCAGGTCACTGTATTTTTCTGATTGGAACAATGTTGTATGTAGAATTACTGTTCAAAGACAGAACAATGATTAAATTATAATGTGTTAGGTGCTGAGACCACAAAGATGAATGAGTCAAGATTCCTTTCCTCATTGAACTGTAAAATGCCTGTTTAAAGTCCATGAAGAGAAAACATTGAGATGCTCTTCTATAAATAGACATAAAAACATTGCCCTCCTTATTAATGTACCGCCTCAGAACATTGTAAAGGAAGGTACGTAAATAAACATATTAAATAGGGTTTTCACTCTGTCATGGCCTCAGACAATAATGATTATTGTTTGTTCTAGCACTAGATATTCTATATTACATCTTTATTTCACATTTTATTATTTTGAAATAATTTCAAACTTTCAGAAAAGATTCCAAAACAGTACAAAGTATTCTTTCACTCAGATTCTACCATTGTTAATTTTTTTACTGCATTTGTTCCATCACCTGCTCTCTCTCTCTCTCTCTCTTGCTCTCTCTCTGTCTCCATACATATATTACATACGTGTGTAAATACATACCCATTATCATATTTTTTTCTGAACCTTTCAGAGCAAGCTGCAAACATGTTCATTCCATCACCCATAATCTCTACAAGTGCCTATATCTCAGAAACAAGGTAATCTTATATAGCCAGCATTTAACTCTCCAAATTAGAAAATGAGCATTGGTCCAACACTACTATCTAATCCAATTCATATTTCATGAATATCCCAACAATATCTCTTTCTTTTCTGGTCCAGGATCCTTCTCAGGAATACTGGTATATGTTGTATTTAGTTATATCTCTTCAGACTTCTTCAGCTGCTTTTTTCCTTGAAAGTTTGAGAAAGTACAGGCCCTACATTTTGTAGGATGACCCTCAATCTAGGTCCATGTGATATTTCCTCATGACTTCAATCAGGTCCTGCATTGCTGGTATGAATACCACAGAAATGGGGTTGTGCCCTTTTCAGTGCATCTAATGCAGAGGCATACAGTGTCAAACCATACCACTACTGGTGATTAATACCTTGGTCATGTGGTGTACTTTCATATTTAATCAGT